TAATAATTGTTTGGATACACTATATTTTTTAAATGCTAGTTGTGATAATTTCATGCCAAGTAAAAATGTCCATAGTCATATTTTATGTTCCTAAAGTAACAGAATGACTTTCAATCTAGAAAAGACAAAAGAAATGCTAATGTAGCATTTTTTTCAATTTTTCCGAAAATATCCGTTTTTTCCCGAAAAAAACCGGAAAAAAACCGGGGTATTTTCCGAGCTTCAAAATTTCCGGAAATTTTACATCTCTAATGAGAATACTCTCATATTTAAGTAAGTTATTCATCATTATTAGTGAACGGCAACAAACCATTAGCATCCCTGATTAAAGATTAAAATAGCAGCTGCTAAGAGAATATGCTAGTTCACTAGCAAAGTCCTATCACAGAAACAAAAATTACTAGCCTCTTTTAAGCAGGTGGTTGAACTCTAGATTATGCTTGCATGCCGCTTGGCACAGCCTACAAATCCCACTGTCAGTCTTGAGAAGTTTTAAATATATAGACCTAATTATACATATTGAATTGCCTTTGTCAAAGAATTCACATTTGCTCAGAGAATTAATTTTACCAGGAACATCTGTTCTTCTTGAAGTCATGACTGGAACTCCACGTCTTTCACTATACGGAAATCCAAAACAGGGATCCTGTTACCTAAAAACAGAGGGTATTTTCATCTGCAAAAATTACACTAGAGAAAAGGATCCTGCCTCTGTACTAAAAAATAAATAGTACCTAAGGCAGTTACAAGCCATGACTTTTAAGAAAGTCATGATAGGCTTCATATTGAAGATTAAAGTCAAATAGCAATTAAAAATCAAGTATGCCCTAGATCATTAAAAATGCATCTGACTAGATGTAATATATTTTATGATTTAAAAAGCTAAAATATCTTACCACAAGATACGATGACAGAGAGAGAGAGATGTCAAAAAAGGACCATTCTGCTTCTGAGGCTGAAACTAGCAAAGCATCTCCACGAACTTCCATGCAGATACAACTGACAAAAATTCAGAAGCAAGAAATTCTTTACTAAATTGAAGGAGCAAGCACTCTACAATTGCAGCACAAGACTATTGTTCATTCATTCAATACTAGTATTTTAAAGGACACTTCAGCTGTTTAAAAGTTTCCTGCAAAGGGGGGGAGATATCCAAGGAGAAAGTAATGTACTACCCAGAAATACTTTTATACGAGGGCTTTATAACATATAAAGTGGTACCAACCAACGATCAGGCTAATTAAACCAAAGAAACTGACATTTGGCTAGACAAATAAATACCCATAAAAACACATGCTCTACATGTTACAGGTTAGTGTATTAGTAATGCAATTATGACAGGGTCACAAAAGTATGACACTGCTTCATGCCCAGATGTAAAGCCAACATCTGAGGAACGAGTAAGGCTGCAAAAATACCTGGATTCACATTCATTCCCCTGAAGTTCTTTAAAACACAATAAAGCATTCAGTAGTAGTGCTTTGCTCTTGAATCAATCACCAAGATATCCCTCCCAAAATGCAGTAATTTTCTCTAAAACCCAAGGCAAATGCTCAGCTTCTCCTGCAAAATGTATTCAACTATGTATCCCACCATACCAGGTAAGGTAGGCACTTCAACCAGATGGGAGAGACCACTAGAAATAAAACCTCATACTACAATTTACTATTTTTCAACCCATCACCCACTGTTACCCAAGGCTAAACAATTTACATATCAATGCTTATTCCTCACAGTTATTAACTCCTCGACTGCAGAAGGAACACATCCAAACAGAAACCACTCTTCACATTAGCATACCATCTACTTTACATTTAACTAAAAAACCTAAACCTAAAAGTAACAAGGACATGGAGGTTCCACAAAATGGCCACTGGCCTCATTCAGATGTTAACAAATCCTCTGGAGCTCAACCACTACTGCTCAGAGATCTGGAAAGCAAGCTATTAAGTCTGTGGCTGTCTCCTTCCCCAATCCCTAAAGGGAGGGATAGAAGGAGGGAGGATGTCAAGATACAGGGGATGCCGCACTCCAAACTCCTCACAGCAACCGCCACCGCGGCAGCAGTAAAGGCCATTTTTGCTTTTATTTAACAGGGGAACTTGGTTGCGGAAACCGAGGTTTACCATTTAAAATCAATATCCATTCCAGCTACCAAGAGGGATGTGGGGAAGGAACAGATAAACGGACAAAACAGAGGCGAATGCAAAGCAACAGGTTCATCGTGGCTAGGGCCGAAGCACAGGGGGCGAAAAAGAGACTTCCGCGCACTAACATCCGCAGCGAGATTCAGATGCGGCGATTACAAAACTTCACCATAAACCGTATCGTCGGTCCAAAGCTCAAACGGCTACATTTCCTCTTTAAACATTAATCCGTTTGTTTGGAACGCTGCTACCCCGCCCTCTCGGGGCTGCTATTTTAAGGACCTCCTATGCAAAGGGGTCTGTGGGGAGGCTTCTTCCATGACGACAGCCATAGAGCCTCCAGCCTGCACTGAATGCGGCCCGGGTCACACACCCCTTCCCAGCCTAGGCACTGCATATACCCTCTCCCCACGCCCACTCCTCCCGCAAGCGGCGCCGGCCGGCGCTTTAAGGCGAACAGCAACCCCGCCCTCTCCGTCCGTCGTAAACAAGGCCTGGTGGCGGCTCCGACTCCGCCGGCTTCTTCCCAAGTACCTTTTCTCGGGCCGCCAGCAGCCCGCGCACTGGGGTCCCCCCAGTACTAACAGGCCCGCTTGGGCCGGGAGTCGAACGAAAGGAGGAGGCGAAGACGCTCTCCCGCAAGCAGACGCGGATCAGCCAGGCTCGAAGGCGCCATGGCGCAGCCCGAGTCGGGAAAAGAAGTGGTCAAATCCCTCAGCGCCGCCACCTCGCCTGATGACGACACTGACGGGAAGGCGCCGGCAGAGGGGGCTGTGGAGGACTCGGGATCTCGCGAGAGGTCCCTGGCGGAATCCGAGGGAGGGAAATGCCTGTGATAGGTTACCTGTCTGCTGCTTCCAGTGACTGGAATAGCGGGTTTAAAGCTTCTCGCGAAATGCAACGAAACGAGGTAGTTCTGCGCTGTAGTTTGTGCCACATTTGTGTAACGGTTACAAATTCCAGTTGGGTAGCCGAGGAAATTCGTTTGCTGAAGCAAAAAGGAAAAGTCTTTGTGGCATC